AAAAAATCGTTATGACAAAGTGGCCAAAATCTGATCAGCTCATTTTCAGACAGGTTTTTATATAAATGGATCAGGACAAAAAGAGAATATTTTTCCTGAAACGTTCAGAATCTCTTTACACAGAGGGGGCACATGTTTATGTATAAAATACATGAAAAAGTGGATTTTGCGTAACTTCTTTACTTAATGATTTTTACCTCTTTGGGTCTGAAACGGCAATTTGAATAAAGCCATCAAAGCCGTTCAGAGTGTAAATGTACCTAGAAGAATGTAACTTGTAGACATCTGTGTTTAAGAACTTCCAAAATATGGTACAGGAGTTAATCTCTGCCGCAGGAACCATGTGTAACCACTGGGTGGTGCTCTTCTTTTACTTTTTGTTGTGAAATATAGAACATTAAATCGTAATCACCTGTCGGCTCACATTTGTCTTATCATTTACGTATATTGAAGAAATGTAGGCCAATTTCCATTTGACAGTTTTCCCCTGTGCGAGAGTTTTAACAAATGACAATGGATTCATGTTGAGATGGAGAGTACCTGTCAGTTACATCCGATTGATTAACTCTCAAAGCTATGACCAATGTCAAGGACATGTTGCAACGGCCTCATTATATTTAATTTATGCAACAAAGTAAAAACCTATTTTTGACATTACCTTACCTGCAGCTCAGTGACACAACTGAAGAATGAAACTGTTAATTGTTACTGATAATCAAGGATTTAACTTAAACTGCCAAAAATACTTGAAAGACAAGTCTGTCAATCTGTCTACAGCTGGTTGATGTGTTTTTCTGCAGCCAGCCACTTTTAAATCCTCACTAAGCTTTAATCTGACTGGCAGCACATCTGGCAGCAGTCTGAACTGAACTTTCCCACTCTACACAGAGCAGTCTAAAATGAAATACTGTGACAGGAATAGAAAGGGACCAGCTGGTACCTATTGCTACCTGTCAAATTGAATGCCATTTTCTTTGGTTTGGGCTGCGTTAGAGAATTTTGTGTGGAGGCCCATCCTCCAATGTGATGATACACACCCTACTGTAAACCTTTGATGAGAAACTTTCCGAAAAAAAGGTATTACAGACATTACTAAGGTATGTATCATGATAATCACTCAAGTCCCATTGTATGCATTTTTTGTATTTTAAAAATGTGAATACAGGTCTTATACCTTGTTTAGTATTTTTCATTGCTGGTTTGAGTTGGTTTCCCTTTAGGTAACATATCTAACATCATCTTCTTCTTCTTCAATACATCTTCACAGTAATTGGCCAAAGAATTACACTTTGGATAAAGATGTTCTCAATGTTGTTATTGAATGAGACAACTGAGTTCATTCAGCACTTCAATGTGGCGTTTTACTCACATATTTAGAAATATCCATACAGATTTACCCAGTCACAGACACAAACACACATGCATTAGAAAATACAGTTAACGATCAAACATTGAGTTTAGATAACAACAAAGAGGATTACAAAATGTATTCAATATAACAATATACAATACAAGACATCTGCCATCATAAATTCAGTTTTTCCTAAAATGGTAACTGGTCATTTATCCAATTGGTACAATAGTCCTATAAAAAAAACAATAATAGCATAAAGAAAAACACATTTAAATCATCACAAATACCGTGTGGACATCTGGAGGCAAATTGAGACTCAACAGTTTGTGCTAACCCCCAAACATTTAATTTGTCTTAAACACAGGCATTTTCATCACATATAACTTACCCCCATGTTCAATTACAATACATTTAGCTACTATGTCCTCACATGTCAATACACACAATTCATTGGAGATCTTTACAAGAAATTTTGCAATGTTAGTATGGATCTCTGCATCATAGATAGCTGGCTGTATGTGCTCCTGCTGCAATGGCTTGTAGAAAACAAGAAGTTCTCTGCAACAACAGTTTGCACCTCTTTCACAGTTGCAGGGTGTTGGTACAACAACCAAGGACTCTACCATACCAAAGCAATTTGAGGTTTCTATTACTGAATTATTTATTTTGAAATTCATACTGTAGTCTCTGGTGGTGACTAAATTGTGTTTTTTTAAAATGCTTATATCCAGTTACACTATTATGATGTTGGTACCTTGTAGGTGTACAACTGTTTTGCAGTGCAGCAATCTCCCTCACATTTAACAGTCTGTGAGAGCCCATCCTAAAGTGACTAAATGTTCCCTTATGCAGTTTGCTGACTTCGTAACAATGTTACAACTGGTCAGGGAAAATACAAAATCTTGTACTTCTCTGCTTGATCCTGGACTAAAGCATTTCCTTTTCTAACAACTTTCTGGTATGAAAAACAATTCTTAGAAATCTGTGATGAAACTGATTGTGTGCCAGAGTACAGCTGCAAGAGTTTGCCATTCATGTCTTCAAACACAAATGCTGAATTGGCCCATAAAAGACCCCAGTCCCTGGCACTCTGGGTAAGATGTGTCAACATATGGCAGTTATATGATAAATGTTCAGGTCCATAACGATCTGGTTCTTTCGCTACAAATTGAACAAGACATAACTCTGCACAATTGAGCTCATCGTGAGTGGCAAACTGGGATAGGAGGATGTGAACCGCACATGCACGAAGCATCCAATGTTTGTAGTAAAGTCCTGGTAAAACAGTCCTTAATATTACAGGGGAATAGAGAAGAACAAATGCCCTCCACTCAGAAGCTTTCAAATGTATCCTCTCACTTAAGCGCCTAGGATTTCTTCTAATTTCATTTGGTGGCTGAATCTTACACAAAGCTTTGTCCAGGTCATCTAACTGAAGACGAGTCAAGTGAAAGTCCTTGTTAGCATAATGAGGGTCAAACCAAAGATTAACAAATTGGCGCACTACACCACGACAAAAACAATTCATGTAGGCTGGTATAAAGCCTTTGATAAGGTCAAATGATGGCAACAGGATCAGTGGACTTGGTCCTTTAACACCCCTTTGAGCTTTGTCATCACCGTTTTCCATCACTAACTTGGCAAGTTGTACAGTTTCAGCCATTTATCTCAGTTCACATCCAACTATCTGTACAGGATAAACTCTAGTAAAACCTCTGCCTTTTGGTACCACCGCCCCTTTGTGGTAGCAAAAACCACATCCATTGAACTGTTTAAAGTTCTGTACCATTGCCCTTACTACTGCATCACAAATACATATTTTAGCTGTTGCTCTGGTGTGATGTTCTTCTAATCCATTATCCTCTTTCCAATAAAATCCTGTGTCCCTCAGTTTTTGAAGTTCATGGATGAATGGGGTGAAGTAACTTCGAACCTTGGGTTTCCCTTTGCCAAACCATAATGTATGCAATAGAACATTTTTACATCTATCCAGAAATGGTAATTCATCGATAGTACACAAGATGGGCCAAATTGAAGTTTTTGATGAATTGAACACAGGGGCGCCATCACAATTAAAGGTTAGAGTAATACTGTCAGTGTTGACTTCCTGAGCCTCACGTCTGTATTCACTTCCAGTGTTGATATCAGAAATGGAGGCATCTCTTGTGAAATGCTTACCATAGCTTTAATTGGAAATTGGCAATATGTTCAAACTCTGCTGGCACACCCCACACTCATTACCTGGTTCAACACTGAGGTAGTTTGTACATCTTGGACAGTAAAATGAATTTCTGTTTTGTCATTATAATTAAGAAAGTATTTCTCTAAAAACCACAATGACTTTGGCACACATCCGGGCACCACAAAGTTTAGGAGCTTTTGTGCTTTTGGCAGGCCATGCTTCGGGATAAAAGCCATGAGAAGAAGAAGGAGAGCTGCCATTGTAACTGAAGAACCAGCATAGATCTTCTTCTCACCATTGAATGTCAAATACATGCTCCTAATAAAAAGGATAACACATTATATGTCAATACCAAAATAAAATGTCTATATTTTCAATATTCAAGCAAAAGAAACAAATTTAGCTAAATTATCTCACCATTGGATCTTCGGGAGTCTCGTCACCAGATTGAACTGAGTTAGCTCTATCTTCATGCTATAATACAGAAGTTGCAGAGATTCAGCTTTAAATAAAGCTGATGATCATTATACAGAAAGTTAGTTGTGGTCATAGGTGACAAGATGCAAGCTAGAGGCTACAGCTAAACAGCATGGGCTTAGCTTGTTTTAGCTTAGCACAACACAGCTAGAGAAAAAGTTAATGCCAGCTGGCTCTGACGTAAAAAAGGCGCTTAGCCATACTAACAACACAATAAATCTCACTTATTGACTCGTTATTATATTTCGTTTGTTTAACTTTTTAAAAAAAGAAGCTGAACACCAAATGATGGGTAGTTATTGTCACTGCCAGGTTCCAGTAAACTTACAGAAAAATGTAGACATGTAACTGTTGATTTTTACAATAACGTTTATAAATGGAATAAAATATACAAGATGTAATGTATATGCTACGAAGTGCTAGTAGGAGGATTGTCTTACCTTCGGACAATGTTTCCAGTTTTCCTGCTAGGCCAAACCAAAGAAGTAACAATGACAACTAAAGGCTAATAGCATGCAACAATGATAGGTAAATGATCACTCTGCTTCTTATCTACACTAACGTTGATAGTTTGACTTAAATGTGATTGTTTTACGCTGCATATGTGTGCATATCTGTCATATTCAACTTGCTTGGAGACACTTGATTGTGCTCCTTTGCTAAAAGTCTCTAAAATGAAGATTTTCTTGTCATGCTACTAACGCTAGTGTTTGGGCAGATGGTAGGCCACCACTTTCTTTAGCTTGGAGCTGGGCATATCTGAAGCTTGGGGATTTTATTCGAGCACCGCGACCAACAACCAATCACATGAATGAACGCTTTTTTTGAAATATAGAAATGAACGGCGGTTTGATTGGCTAGGGCTTGAGCTGTCAGATTTTCAGAAACGGGATTTGATTGGCTGGCGCTGGCTACTCCGGCTTCTCCGGCTGCAGAAGTCAACAGGCTTGTTTGAGACGCGTTGCGGCTCGCCTCGAAAGTAGACAAGAATAGCCGATCGCAGCCGGGGGAGGTCTCAAAAAGCTCGCCTGAAGTCGGACAGCTCCGAGTCGGCTTCTTCTTCTTCTTCTTCTTCTGCTTCGCCTTCTTCTTCTTCTTCTCTCGGTTTTTTGGCGGATTGCAAACAACTTTAAGGTGCATACCGCCACCTCCGGAGTCGGCTTGACTCGGTTTGCATTTATAAAGAATGCACACATGTGTTTAATTGTTAATGTCAGATATACTAAGTAAATACATTTGTTCCTGCTCAAGATTAGATTCAACTCTATTGTTATTGCACAGATTACAGGTACTGAGACAACGAAATGCAGTTTAGCTTCTAACCAGGAGTGCAACAAGCAGTAAAGTGAAAAGTAATGTACACAATCTACAGAATAAAAGATAGAATGAAGTGAATGATGAATAAACAGTGAGGGGTATGAATACACTAGATATACACAGCAGCCTGTGAGCAGTATGAACAGTGTGTATGAATATACTAAGATATATAAAGTATAAAAACGGTAAGCAGTGCAAGTATAGTATAACATATATAGATATTAATTTCATGATGATAAACATTGTGGAACAATGATGAAAAATGTGAATGGAAGTGGCGACGTAAAACTGACACCAAACAACAACTTTTGCCGAGCCAATTGGAGAGTTTCATCAGCAGCACGGGGTAAAAACCACCAATGAGCGCTCAGCTCCAGATACCAGCGAGTCGTTTCCCATCAAGCATTTCACCTCCGCAGCCCGTGGAGAGGAACTGCGCCGCCTCGCCGCGCCTCGCTCCCAAGGCTGCGGGCGTCTTTGTCCCGCGAGATTTCAACGTCTCATGTAGCGAGCCTCCAGTAGCAAGTCGGACAAAATGACTAACCATCATGCAACGCACGAGCAAGACTTTGATCGAAATTGCGTAGGTCTAGTGCAGGTCTCGCTTGTTTTCAAACAAGACCTGGCTTCTTCTTCTTCGCCTTCTTCTTCGCCTTCTTCTTCTTCTTCTCTCGGGTTTTTGGCGGATTGCAAACAACTTTAAGGTGCATACCGCCACCTCCGGAGTCGGCTTGACTCGGTTTG